GATGATCTGGATAGATGCCCAGGAGTGGTATGGCTGGGTCATAGGGAAGGTCTATGTTTAGTTTCTGAGGATCCTCCAGATTGCTGTCCAGAGTGGCTGTATTAGTTTACATTCCCACCAGGAGTACAGTAGGGTTCCTTTTCCCCACATCCCTGCCACATTTGTTTGAATTCACAATGTTGGCCTATCTAACCAGGGCGAAATGGAACTTCACAGCTGTTTTGATTTGCATTTCCTTAACGGCCAGGGATGGTGAGCATTTTCCCATGTGTTTCTTTGTTATTTTTACCTCTTCTTCTGTGAAGACTCTCCTTAGCTCCCATGCCCATTTAATGATTGGTTTATTAGTTTGGGAGGGGTTAGTTTCTTGAACTCCTTTTATATTTTGGGTATTAGGCCTTTGTCTGATGCTGGTAAATACCTTCTCCCAGTTTGTTGCTTGTCTTTCTACTTGAGTAACTATATCCTTAGCTGTGCAGAAACTTTTTATTTTGACATATTCCATTTGTCAAGTCTCTCTCCTCTCTGCTATGCCCTGGGAGTCTTCAAAAAGTTTCTGCCTATATCTGTGAGTTCTAGTGTTTCTCCTACTCCCTCTTGCAGGTCTGACTTTGAGGTCTTTGATCCACCTTGAATTGCTATTAGTGCATGGTGATAAACAGGGATCCACTTTTAGTTTTCTGCATAAGGATGCCCAATTGTTGCAACACCAATTATCGAGGAAGCTGTCTTTCTTCCTCTCTATGTCTTTGACTCTTATCAAATATCAGATAACTCTGAGTATATAGTTTTATTTCAGGGTCTTCAGCCTGTTCCATTGGTCTTTGGGTCTGTTTTTGTTCTAGTGTCAAGCTGTTTTTGTTATTATTGCTCTCTAGTAGAGCTTGAGGCCTGGGATTGTGATACCAAAATGACTTTTTTTGCCGAGAATTTCTTCGGCTATTTGAGGTCTTTTGTTGCTCTGTATGAATTGTTGAATTGTTTTCTCTACCTTGGTGAAGCATGTCATTGGGATTTTGATGAGGAGTGCATTTGATGTGTACATCATTTTTTCAGTTTGGCCATTTTTATAGTGTTAATTCTACCTCTCCATGAACATGGTAGTCCTTCCCATTTCCTGATATCATCTTTTATTTCTGTCTTCAAAGTGTTATGGTATATATGTATGTATATAGATAGATAGATAGATAGATAGATAGATAGATAGATAGATGCATATATATAGTTTATATATTTTGTACCTTTAGTTTATTAGATTTTTTTGAGGTTATTGCAGATGGAATTGTTTTCCTGATTTCCTTCTCCACTTGTGCATTGTTGGTATATAGAAAGGCTTCTGATTTTTATGGGTTAATTTTGTATCCTGCTCCTTTGCCAGTTGTTGATCAGCTCTAGTAACTAGGGGATGGTCCTTTAGATATATGGTCATGTCGTCTGCAAATAGGGGCTGTTCCATTTCTTCAAATGGTGACATTTTGACAGGTGCATATTAGCATTTTTATACCAGCAGTGAAACAGTGGGTACCCCAAACTAACTTTCATAGTTTACATAGAGTTCTACATAAATAGAGCAGGCAAAGCATTTATTTCAACTACTGAATTTGTAGCCAAGCTGAAAAGCAAGAGGAGGCAAGGCCAGAGCTACAGGGGAAGATTGTGGAAGAGTGGGATGTCAGCTGAATTCAGGGAGACCTGGCTACAGGCTGTGAAGTCAGATGAACTCAGGGAGCTCTGGGCTTCAGGCCTCTGACCGCCCCCCCCCCCCACACACACACATACACTGGCAGGCTCCTCACACACAAGTAGTTCCTGGACGCTTTCTCAAAGCTCTGAGTCATGGATTAACAAACTAATCTTTACTCTAGCTTGGGGCTAGGATTTGTCTGGTAAATCTGCAATTCACTCAAGCTTCAGGGGTTAAGAAGAAATAACTGACTTCAGGAAGTGGAGATTTGAGGATCAAGGTTTGAAGCTAACTTGGGCAGCAATGTCCATGAGACTCTTATCTCCAAATAACAAGCCAAAGCCACCAGTGGAGCTGTGACTCAAATGGCTCATCTAGTCTTTAGTGAAAAAGCTAAGGTTCAGTGTCCAGGCCTCAAGATCATGAACAAAGGAAAGGTCGGGGGAGATAAAGAACAGATTGAAATAGAGAAAAGCAAGATGAGCAAACCCATTTATAATGAATTTCAAAACCCAGAAAAGAAAAGAATAATTTAGCACAGAGACTTGGCTTTGTCATTCTACAAGAAGCCTTGGAAAGGCAGAGCTGAGGTAAGAAAAGAATGTCTCACAGCTCACTTGTCCTGTGAATGACGATCTAGAAACTGGAAGATATCTTTCCACTCAGAATGTTCTAGACAGAAATGTGTGTCATCCAAATTTGAACATCGTTATACCCTGTGTGAATGCTATGAAGCATGTTGGGTGGGGAGGTGTGTGTGCCGGTATGTTCTCAGATAAAGCCGGAGGGCCATCCCAGGAGCAGGTCATGGAATTCAGGCCCTGCGTGTGAGGCCTGGACCAGGGACCGCTCATCCACCAGCTGGCAAGGTTCTTTTGTCCTGACTCGGGTCTGATGCTGACCCAGACAAGAACGACTGCCCTCCGGTACAAGGGTCTGAGGGCCCAGTACCTTCTGCAAACAAAACATGTCTATATGGTTCTCTTTTTAAAGGAAAATATAACAACACTGACAGGAATCTTGAGGAGGAAAAACATTTCCCAGAGATTTACATGCTTTTTTTAGATTAGATGTTCTGGGGTTTGAACTCAGGGCCTTGAACTTGCCGGTCAGGCACTCTATTCCTGAGCCATGCCTCCAGCCTTTTAGCATGGGTTATTTTTGAGATGGGAAGCAAGCTTTCTATCCAAGCACAGGACTGGCCCATAATACTCCTATTTCTCCACCATGGCTGGGCAGAAGCACACACACCAAGTTTCTTCCTTTGAGATGCAACCTTTCAGACTTCTTTGCCCGGACTGGTCTCGTCCAGGTTTCATGGTATGCACACCACCATGCCAGATGACCTGTGCACACCAGCATGCCGGCTGACCTGTGCACACCAGCATGCCCTAGCAGTTTGGCTCCGCTGACCCGACACTGAGGTGCGGTGTGAGCGGGCTGTGAGGTGGTAGAGCCCTGCTCCTTGCCTCTGGCCTGGGCTTGGCAGTGGACAGCAGTGGAGGTCAGCTGTGAGGGCCGGCGCTTCCTGACTGGTGTGAGATGGCACGTGTTAATGTCGCTGCAGGAAGCTGATAATGTGTCTCCAGAGCTGGGCCAGAGCCAGAGAGATCGCTGGCTGGTGCAGAGCGGAGTGGAACGGGATCAGGGAGCATCTCCTCTGAGGGGAGCAGAGAGACAGGGAGAAGAACCTGGAGAAGGAAGCTGTCTAAAGATGCTATGTGCTTTAGCATAACGCAGTGGATGAGAACTAGATCTCAGAAGATTTTTCCCTTTATTGAAATATTCTAGGGCGCTTTCAAGATTAACATGGAGGAGTGTTAAGATCATGTTTATAAAGAATGTGACCTGTAGAAAATTCCTAGTATGTATACATTGATTGCTATTTGTTTGTTTGTTGTCATTCTTGTGCTTTTTTTGTTTTGTTTTGTTTTTGAGTGGGAGAATGATATTGGAGTTTGACTTCAGAACTTCCAACTTGCTAAGCAGATGATCTACCACTTGAGCCATACCTCCAGCCTTGCTTTTTGCTGGTTAATTGGAGATGGAGTGACTTTTCTGCCCAGTGTGGATACAACTAGGATCCTTCAGATCTCCCGCTGAGTCACTAGGGTTACAGACGTAACCACCAGGTCTCAGCCTGCTGGGTCTCTGGGATTACAGGTGTAACCACTGGTGCACAGCCTGATTGCCATTCTTTAAAGTATTTTGGCAGGTTTCTTCATGATTAGGAATCACAACTGTGCATTTCAGCTTTTATGTTTCAGCATGTCTCTGGTGTGGTTGTTCTTGATCATTTCATTGTTAAATTCCACTAAAAATTTAGCAGTGTGGAGACAAAGGCTGACCTTGAACTCATGAAATGACCATGTCATCTGTCTTTTCTCACCTGTCCATTTTTGTGTGATACGTTCTCCCCCCCCCTGCCCCCAGGCCTGATTGTGAGACAAACAAATACAAAAAGTGACATCCTTTTCTCTGGGCACCAGTTAGTTACCTTACAATTTGCACCTGACTGGTTCATTCTACTATGGAAAACCTGGCTGAGAGGTTTTAGTTTTTGTTCTTTTGCACTGTGGTTATTTGTTGTTTTTTTTTTCTAAAAAAAAAAAAAGAAACTAAAGTGACCTTTCTTTCATGTCATCGCAAGCTTTTAAAATTGAGAGGCATTTTCTTATACCAAGATTAAAAATATTTACTTAAAGCAGATAAAAAGCTATTAAAACTAATGGTTAAAAGTTTTGTTTATTTTGGTGGCACTGAAGTCTGAGCACACGTGCTCACACTTGCTAGGCAAGCATTCTCCCTTTTCAGCCACATACTCAGCCCTTCGTTGAAGAACGAAGTCTCTCAGGTTTTACCTGAACTATCCTTCTACCAGACCTTTTACACAGCCTGTGCCACATGCCTGTTGTACTTGTTGACATGACGTCTTCCTGGCTTTGACCAGTGCTAGCCTTCAGCCATGATCCTTAAAACCACTGAGTCACTGGGACTATAGTGAGTTACGACGCCCAGTTCCAGGGCTTGTGTTTTGGTATTTTTTTTTATTTCTTCTCACACTTCCGTTATGCTTAACTCTGTGCAAAAATGTTTTTAGAGTTCCTTTTCCCAGTGCATTGAACCACACGCTCTGTCCAGTCCAGCAGGGCTGTGCAGAATGGAGGGCTTGCTTCATGGGTTGTGTGCTGGTGCACTCCAGGCTCTGTGGGGCACTGCACAGCCTTGAGGACAGTGCGGTTCCAGGTCTGGGTGAAGATGTGTGGAGCAGAGGTCGTGAAGAGCCTGAGGCCGGTCTCCTCTTCTCACCCCACAGATCAAAGAGCACCTGGCCAAGGGGCAACGCACGCTGGCGGGCGATGGCATGTCCCAGGTCACCAAGACACTGCTGGACCTGACCCAGAGAAAGAACTTCTATGCAGGCGACCTCCTGATGTCTGTGGAGATCCTGAGGAATGTCACAGACACGTTCAAGAGAGCCAGCTACGTCCCCGGCTCTGACGGCGTGCAGGTGAGGGGACAGGCCATGATGGGAGCTAGCGAGGAGGCGAGGCTAGTGAGGACAGGTCCATAGTGGGCCCTGGAGGCTCCCTGGCTGGCCAGAGGGCTGGCTGCATCCTGGGGAAGGGTGGGGGACAGGCAGGGGCCCTGGACTCAGCTGAGCTCCCAGAGTCAATCTGCACCTCGCATGCTTGGCCCTAGAGTTCAGGGAAACACTGAGCGAGAATGGGATCAAAGCGTTTCAAGCCCTTACATACAAGGCATAATCGCAAACTCAAGGTGATAGCATGGGTATTTCATTCCCCCTCTTAATATCAACATCTTGCCAAAGAGACTATTAAAAGCACATTAGGTTCAATGAGATCACATTCACTACAGCTCACAGAGAAGATCTCGTTGAAGAGTTGTTTGCAGATTTGTTAGTAGGAGGAAAATCATACTTAATTTTGTAGAGCCATTGCCTGAAAATGAGAGGCAGTTAGTGAATGTTCTGGATAGGAAAAGAAGAAATTAAAGAACTCTCCCAGCATTTTCTCTCTTGTCATAGAACACTGGAAAACAATGTATCATTTATTCCATAATAAAATTACAATTTTGTCTTGCCTTTGTCATTAAAACAAAGCCAGTTGGAAAGTCAACAAAGTGTATTAATGCAAGTTTCTTTACATATCCAATTTTTTTCCCCCTGCTGGTACAGGGGTTTGAACTGAGAATCCCCGTGCTCTTTCTCACGTTGGTCACTTGGTTGGCATTCTACCACATGAGCCATGCCTCCAGCCTAGTGTTTTGCTAGTCACTTTGGAGATGGTGTCTCCCTGCCTTTGCCTCCTAGCTAGCCTGAAACTAGGCTTTTGAGTGTCTAGGGACACAAGCAGGAGCCCATGGCACCTAGCGCAGAGTTAACTTTTTCCTTTGTAGCCTAAAACGTAGTCTTGGCAAGAATGCTGAGCTGCTTTCTGTATTGCTGTGCAATTTCCTTCCTCTGTCTCCATGTAAAGTTCACTGAAGCAAAGATGTGGCAAGAACTCCAGGTCAGGTTCTGTTCCCTTCAGCCTTCTCCTCACTCAGGAATTTCTGCTTGTGTTTCATTCAGAAAATGCAGAAGATTTTTGGCTTTTCTAGGTTTTTGTTTTCATTAACAATGGAAGAAAAGAGAAGAGGAAGGTTTTCTGGACCATGTAGCCATTCATTAATAACCCGGGTGCCCTAACTCATATAGAGAAACGTAAAACGTGTGTTCCTGGAAGGCATCCATTGGGGTGACATCCAATGCCCTTACCCTCAGCATCCACTCTATGATGTTAAAATGGCCAAAATACATCAGGAGGCATATTGGACAGAAAATTATTTGAGCACTTTTTGTTGCCAGTACTGGGCCAGGACAGCCTCCCCTAGCTTCAGGTGCCCTACCACTTAAACCACGCCTGGCATTTTTGCTGGTTAATTGGAGATGAGTCTTATGGATTTTCCTGCCTAGGTTGGCTTCAAATCGCGATTCTCCAAACTCAGGCAGGGCAGGAAAGTCTGTGAGACTCCTATCTTCAGTTAACGACCAGAAAGCCAGACGTGAAGCTATGGCTCAAATTAAAGCATCAGCCTTGAGCAAAAAAGATCAGATTAGTGCCCAGGTGTTGAGTTCAAGCTCCAGGACCAGCACTCACTCTCCCTCCTTCCCTCCCTCCATTCTCCTCCTCCTCCCATGCTGCACACACACACAAAGACCCAGTGAACGATAGGCAGAACCAGTTCCTTGGTTCTGGATGGTTTGAGTTCATGAACAGGAATGGATCCCTCACTCTGTTAAACGGCCTTGCATACTGGAGCTGTACGTCTTCCCATCCAGGGCAGCGTGTGCCCCCTCGGCTGACCCACGGCCCTGCATCAGTCCCTGCTTGCTCTCCTCTTGGGGGATTCCTTCTTGCCCCTTTGCCTGCTGAGACCCTAACTCAGATCTCTTCCCAAGTGACGCCCACCATGCCGCAAGTCCACCTAAAACAACCTTCTTCGTCTCCAGGGTCCCAGAGAACTTCATTCGCTTGCTCTGCTTCCTACCATTTAATACAAACCATGAAGCATCTTTATCATTTTCTGTGCATATGGCCATACTCAGCACCTCCTCTGTGTTGTTGTTCCTGAGGGTTCTGGATGTTTCTGGCTGGCTGGTGCCTCCCGTCTACTCTGTGTACCAGTATTCCTGAATTTCCTGCTTTGCCTCACAGCCCTGTGCTTCCTGTAGAGCTGGTCCTGCGGGCGGCTCTCCTCCAACCCTTCCTTCCTGGGCTACCATGCCAGGCCAGCCTCCCTGTACCTCCCACACCTGACCCCATTCCCTCCCATGGTGTGTGCTCTGGGCCTCTGAGCCACTCCTGGGCAGCTCCAGTGAGGCCAGTCCTCACCACGAAGCGTCAGGTGAGGACTCAGGGCCCTTCACCAGGGCCTCCGACAAGATGCCAGGTGCTCACAACCTTCTCCTGCAGCTCCTGCCTAGGCAACACTTCCTCTCCCCAGACCCTGGGCTGAGATCCCTTCACCTCCCTGGCCTCCTGCGTCCTGCAGGCCCTGGGCGTGGGGCCTGGCTGTCCCGTGCTTGCCACGGCCAGCTCTGCCTCAGAGTCTGCTAACATGTTCTCGCCTGCATCACACACCCTCTTCTCCTATCAGCCCGCATTGGAAAATCTTTGAGAAAGCAGGGATGTTCCTGATTCATTCTGGATGGAGCAAAGCACTAGCCTACCACCCCAAATAAGATGGAGCATAGAATCTTGATTGTGGAAGAGATCCAACAAATCTCTGCTGACGTAATCAATAACAAAAAACTAGTAACCAAATAGTTCCAGCTGAACTGCTCTCATCTGTTCTATTTTGTTCTTTTTCTTTGTCCATTAAGAAATGATCAGAGACATATTTTGAGAAACAATGAATAAGTTTTGTGTGTTATTCAGGATCTCTCCACATAACCCAGACTGGTTTCCAATTGCATATCCTCAGCCTTTGCCTCTAGAGTGCCGGGATTACAGTTACTCTGCTTATATATTTCAGTCTTGTTTTTCTTTTTTTTTTTTTCTGGTTCTGGGGCTTGAACTCAAGGCCTGGGCACTGTCTTTGAGCTTCTTTGTGCTCAAGGATAGTGATCTACCCCCTGAGCCACACTGACATTTCCAGCTTTTTCTGAGTGGTTTATTGGCAATAAGAGTCTTGCGGACTTGCCTGCCTGGGCTGGCTTTGAACTGCATTCCTCAGAACTCAGCCTCCTGAGTAGCAAGGATTACAGGCAAGACCTAGCTGGGTCTATATTTCTTTTAGATACAGTGATATTCAGATATTATATTTAAAATGTCTACTGTTGGATTAAACATTGGCCTAAGTTGCAGAGGACAGTAGAGCTACAGTCCCACGTGTATCCACATATCTCCCCACAGACACACAAATGTATGGGTGTGCATTTGCTTTATTAGAAGTCAGACATGTTGACCTATGGAGACTGGGGAGATTTGAAGGCTTTGAAGCGGCCTTAGAGTAGCAGGATTTGATTTGGGGGGTGAGCACTGTCATAGCACATCTGGGAAATGACACCTTCTCTTCTGCTCAGATTACTCTCTAGGCGATCATCTTTATGCCCCAAACTCAAGGACCAGGGATTCTTTTGTCTTTTTCTTTTTCCTTTCTTTCTCCTTTTTTGTTGGTTTTATGTTGTGCTTTTTGGAGAAAACTTTGCTATGGGAATGCTTATTTACAGTTCTTAAATGCCAGGAGGCTATTTTATTCTTGCATTTTTATATCATAATCCAAGATATGAAATTTTTAAATATTTTAAGTGAACTTAAAAGGAGACACAGAGCTATGTCTACTTTTACTTTTAAGTATGTAAGTTATTAATTTTTCTCTCCCTCTGTCAACTCAAGGGAAACCTATTTAAATTTAGTATTTTTTCTTTATTTCACTTTTAAAACTTTTATTTTAAAATACGTTGCTTGTCAACTTCAGAAATCAGCTTCAGAAATCAACATAACTCTGAAGTTAAGAATTCCCCAAATCATTTATCTTACTACAAAAGAACTTTGTATTCACACCAGTCACTTCTATTTTAGGCTCTTAGGATGAATTTCTTATATGATTTACGAGCAATAATTTGGTTAAGAAAAGGGGAATAATTAAAACATATAATCCATATACTTTAAATACCTGAAAAATAAAAACCTTTTCCTTATCAAATGAAGAAACTATTTTAAAACCTTTTAGTGTTGATAGGTAGGTAGACAGATTTGCTTTTAATTTCATTAAAAAATAACATCTGGCAGATGCTTTCCCAGTCTTCCCAATCAACATCATCCTATTAAATGGGACACAAGTGTCTCAGTGAGCCAATGAGTCTCCTTCCCCCCCCCATCTATCTGCCCCCTCTGACCTCCTAGACCGCAGCTGAAGGGTAGGTCTATGCCCACAGAAGCAGAATGTGAGTCAGTGGCTCACACCTGCAATCTTAGCTACTCAGGACTCAGAGCCAAGAATCCTGGTTCAAAGTCAGCCAGGTAGAAATGTCTGGTTGAGCCTCTTAGCTCCAGTTAACCACCAGAAAGCCAGGATGAAGCTGTTTCTTAGTGGTAGAGTGTCAGCCTTGAGCAGTAACACTCAAAGACAGTGCTCAGGCCCTGAGATCAAGATGTAGTATCCACATGCGTACACACACGCACCCTCTCTCACACATGCTTCAGCTTACAGATTTTTTTGAGGGGTGAGGACACGTTGTGCCTAAAGAGAGAACGGTGTGCAGCTGTAATAATTCCCTTCACTGAGGCGTTGGGCACAGGTGGCTGAGCTGCTGCTGTCTGGTGTGTCTCCTCCCATGCTCCACCAAGGTCTGCCCAGCCCTGGCTGGGATGGAGGGAGGTGCAAATGTTTACTTGGTTCCTGGACATCAGCACCCATCTAGATTAGGTGCTCACCTTGCTGCGCTGAGCCGCAGGCTTCCAGAAGAATCGTCTTAGAATGACTCTTAGTGTTGAATGAAGA